TCTCTCTCTTCCGCCCTCTCTTCTAGGTCCCTGCCTCCCCGACACGCCTAGTTGATTTGGTGCATACTCCGCCGTCCACAAGTCTGCCCCCACCCCTCCTTTCCCGTACCCTCTCCCGCCCCCTTCTCCACCGCTCCCCTTCGCACGTGATGATGTAATTTGCGTGCAGTCCCCAGAACGCTATTTTGCCCAGCCGTCATGCAGACGCCTTCCATGGAAATAGCGGTGCCTTCTCCACCTCCTCTTCCCCATCTCCCCCTCTCTCCCCTGCTCCCCATTTTCTGCAACCCCGTACGCTCCCTGGGCGTCGGGTTTCGCGCGGACCAAACTAAAATATTTATAATGGTTTTCCATAGTTGCCCCGCCAAAGTGCCCCACTGCGCGGTCAACGTCCGTCGTATGCGATGCACTGCTGTTCCGTTTCACTCCCTGCTTTCCTCTGATTGTTCATCGGGCAGAAAAGGGTTGCACCAACGTCAAGGTGCACCCCTTTTGCAGAGTAGTAAAATTTGCCAGGCCCTTTGTTTACTTTTGAATTCCATTTCTCCACTGAGATCCATGCAGTGGCCGGAACACGGCCTCGGCCGATGGATGTTATTTCTTTCTAGGCCCTTTTTTCTGTTTTATATTTTGTAATATATTAAAGTATGAATTTCTGTAGAGAAATGGGACATCACTAAGTGGGGCGGTGCATTTTCCGTGTAAAGCAGAGACCAGAGGGTGCAGGGAGGAAAAATGAAAAAAAGGGCAGTGGAGGGAGTAGGGGCCGAGGAGTAGTGAGTGAGGGCCAGGGCTGGGGGGAATGGAAGGGTGTAGGGGGTGCCGACTCAAATGAAGCGCGTGGCTAAGGGCTCGCCATGGCAGCTGGGCGGGGAGGATGGAGGGGGGGGGGTCGAGTAATGAGTGACAAAAAAAAACCGGCGGGAGCCAGCGACCCGCTCACCTAGGATTATTACGAGGCGGGGTTTGTTATTTCGGGTGAGAGAAACGAGAAACGAGGTGGAGCGTTCCGAGAAATCAGAAGGAAGTCGCGGATCCCGCGGATACGGCGCTGTTTTCATAGCCCGATGATTTGTGAAAGCGTAAAAGTGAGTCACTTGAAAGTTTTGTACAATACTGCTGTCGTCTGGGGAAAATGGTCTCACCTATGCATTTTGGGACATATGGAAAGGTACTGCGCTGCAGAGGCTTCTTGGATGACACTTCAAGGGCACTAAAAACTGGTTGGCGTCTTATGACGCCAGAATATTGGCGTCCTCTGATGAACGCCACTAATTTTGGCGCCATTTGGCGCCAACTTTTGGCGTCCTTTCGGAAGACACCAAAATTTCAAAAGACGCGTAATTTATCATTGAAGCGCCAAATCTTGGCCAATATATTGGCGTCATATGATGCCGACCAGTTTACAGTGGGCTTTGGTAATACCGCGGCAGTGCCTCGTGACTCCATGCTTTTGAGATCAGGATTTTTAAAGATTTTTAAAATTTGCCAATCGGATCATGGGCATGACCCGGCGAGGCATTTCAGCTCGAAATAGAACTATACCGAACCGGATAGAGACACACACATACGGCGGGGATGAAGTAAGGCGGGCGAGATAAGGCTGATGAATCGCATTGCTGCACATCCTGTGTACGTCAGCAGTATCACAACAAAGAGAGGCAAGGCGGGGACAGCGAGGGAGGGATGATGATTAAGAGGGGGGGGGGGGGGACGAGGATCAGGATAAGGGGAAGGAGAGAGAAAGAGTAAAACAGGGAGGGGGGGCTTTGTCCGGAGGGCTCCGCCCGCCGATGCCATGTACTCTCCACCGTATTTTTACGCTGCCTGCGTGGTGAACGGGCATTATTTTGCCACTCGCGTGAGACGGATTGGGCCGGCGGGCGCCGCGCCGGGCCACGCCGCGTGATGCGATACTCGAGATAGAAAGAAATGAAGGAGCAGCGCGCGCGCTTTGCTCTGGGCGGTAACGACACCGTGCAGCGCTATAGGGAGCGAGAGAGGGGTGGGGAGGAGGAAGGCTTGGGAGTGGATGATCCTCAGGGGAACTCGCGGTGCTCGCGGCAGGAGTCCGCACTGCTGCGTATACCTGGTGCGCGTTATTGTTTTTACATTTGAAAGTTGTTGGCTGAGGTGTAGCGAAGCAGCCTATTACCCCAGTGACTATAAAACGTTTCTTGTATACACAGTAAAACAAATTCTCGTGATTCTGCGAAATTTTCTCGGTTAACTTTCTTTCACGAAACCTTCCTTTTTAACAAATTACGATACATCGTTATTTTACGAATTGCTTTGGAAAAATTGAAACCTCTAACGAAAGAACATGAAATTTGTATAGATTTTGCCAAATATTATGACTTACGACGACCCCTAAATTTTCATTCGTTACGAAATATATTTGTAACGTTAGGAAATGTCTCCTAAATTGGCAAAATTTTCGTGAATTATTTTTCACTAAGCATTTCATAACCTTTTTTTTACGAAAACTTTTTCTTTCAGTGTTCGGTTGATGCCAATAAATGCCGGTACAATAGCATTAGGGCGCGCGCGTCTTGTCTGCTGTCGCGGTAGAGCGGTGACGCGGACGCGTTGCGGCCGCAGTGAAGCGGTAGAAATGTCGGAAGTGGTGTAGACGGCGGGCCGTTTTGTGAATATCCGATCCGCCGGGCCGCAGGCGGCGTGCGTATATCGGGCCATTCTTCCTGTCCCCTAATCCCGCCTGTGGCCCTGCCTGCGGCCCGCCTGCCTATTCCGTTTGTCAATGGTAACGGCCCGGCATGTGATTACCTGGATAGGCATTTCGCGTGACTGAACCAAAGTTGCAGCTCCGCCCCTTAACCCGCCTCACTCCCCCATATGCTCGTGATTGCAACGTAGAGCCAGCCCCCCTACGCATGAGCGGGAGGGGCGCGAGGGGAAGGGAGGCTGTCCTTAAATAACACGATAGCCGACTGGGAAGGCGAGTGCCGGTGAGGAACGAACGTGGCGGTGGAGCGGATGGACGCGCCCGTAGCGGGTGGGGGCCCTCCCTCTGCCAGCCGCACCCGGGATGCCCGTTGTGTATTTGGGCAGAGTCATCTTCGACAGCAGATGGATTCTCTCGACGATGATACAGTGCCTTGTCGCTGGGGGATGTTCCGGGGGCCGGACGGGTGTATCGGTGACCCCATCTCAAACTCACTCTCTGCTGCGCCCCGCCTCCGCTTTGGCTCCCGTTCTTTTTTCGCTCCCCCCCTGCCCCCCTCACCTCTGCCCTATCAGACGGAGCCAGCGCCCCCACCTCCCCGCCCCCCTCTTCTCCTCCTCCTCTGCCGCGTCGATGATTTGTTATTCCCGGTCCCTTTTCTCCCCCGTCCATCTGTTCGGCTGCCGCCGCGACCTCTGCCTCCCCGGCCTGGAGAGGAATAAATCGTATCTGTGCGGCATTACTGGTGTCCATGGCGACGAGAGACAGAGAGCCGGGGCGGCACGCAATGCGGAGCTGGGGGCGCCGCGCGGGTGGCGCGCCACCACACGCATTCCATTCCTTGTAATAATAACGCTTCCCTCTCCTCAGGCTGAAGCCGTGGTACTTGGAGGAGTGCTCGTCCACGCTGGCCACCACGTACAGCTCGGGCACGCCCGGCAGGGACCGCAGCGTCGCCACCGTGGACATGGACGGCCAGCTGCGGCCCGACCACCTCTGCACCAACGAGCACACTGGTGAGTATCGCCGCCCAACACTCTGCTTCAGCACCTGTAACCGTTGGACCGAAGGGGGTCTGCAACTAAACGGTGTACTTTTGAGTAGATTATCGGATTATAGAGTAATTATGTAATATATGAGAAAGCACTATTCCAAAACAATTCAGTAATCTAGCGCTGTAAACTTTATCTAACTGCTTATCGTTGCCCGAAGGATTGTTTTCACGGTGTTTCGTCTGTACGGTCACTGGATTCTCCACCACACGGAGAGAAAAGATTTGCTGCCACAGCTGTTTTATTGCTGCGGTAGCAATTTTTGGCTGCTAACATAGCGCCTACAACATTTCTAGCTGTGCCAGCAAACTTAAATTGCTGAATGTTTCTTTGCTGATGCAGCAACGGAATTTGCTGGTGTTACAATCCCAGTGAGCCGCGTATGGAATAGCAATCGCCCGAATTGCTCTGTCAGCAATCTATATTGAAGCAATGGGTGCAAGCTGATCTGCTGTGGTATCAATATTGCCCCCCCCCCCCGCCCCCCATTTTGAATATTGATATGGTAGAAATGAAAAGGTCGTATTTCATATACTGTTTCCCTTTATTTCGCTAAAAACATATGACGTGACACATGACACAATAGGCAAAAAAAATCGTTCAAATTAAATAATTTTTGGTGACATAACCTAGCCGTTCATCAGAATCCAACACGGATGAATCTTGGACAACCACTTTGTTGTCGTATGTTGTTTCTTCAAAACTCTCAAAAGTGATCAAAAATGAAAACAACACTTTACCATTAATATAAAGCAATGTTCATAGAGT